AAGTGAGGTCAACCCAAGCGACAGCACACACAAAGTCATCATGACAGGCGAACGACCCACAACAACCTCAGGATGTTTGGAGTTGCGGGCAAGTTGTTCACAAACCATAGCGACCACAAGACTATCCCGAGGATATCAAGCGCTCGCACAAGCACAAACACACACGCACACGTGCACACACACGAAACAAGTTGGAAGTCTCACAGTGTCAATGCACGAGCCGAAAAAGGTCTGTATGTCTTGAGTATGTCTGTGTATAATAAAAACCCATGCAGGCCAAATATAACTCTATGCTCTTGTTGGCCATCCCTCACCGCCAGTTCATCGCTCTCTTTGCATTCCTGTAAACAATCAGCTGGAAAAAAAAAAACCAACAGTAAGGCACGTTTTCATCGGCAAGCATCACCTACTCAAGGAGACTACAAGGGTGATGTGAATGACTGTCAGATCTCTGCAAAAAAGACGCTTTCTCATTGAGCCCACTTTTATCCTGTCTGGAGGAAATCAAGACCTGGATGGCACTAAAACTCTGGAATTTCAATTAAAAGAAAACAGAAGTGATGGTGTTTGGTCCCAGGGGCCCTTGGACATCCCATTCTGCGGACTTCGGCCCCCTGGCTCTTTATTTTAAGCCAACAGTCTTGAACTTGGGTTTTAAACCGGGACAGTGATTTTAAATTGGACTGGCAAATTGGTCCTGTTGTTAAATGCAGCTTCTTTCATCTTAGCTGGCTAAAGTAAAGACTCTCCTTCCCCAAGAGCACTTTGAAACAGTAATTCATGCCTTTGTCGCATCTCGGCTGGATTTCTGGTATACACTTTACTTTAGAGTCAGCCAATCCTGCATTAAGCATCTCCAGTTGGTCCAGAATGCTGCTGCTCGCCTCTTGACTGGTACTCGTAAGAGGGAGCACAAAATTCCTACTCTGGCATCCCTTCACTGGCTCCCGAAACATTTTAGGGAGGGGGGGCGGGGGGGTATTTAATTCCACAGTTGAATCACTAATCATTTTAAACAAACACAAATATTTTGCACTGATTATTGAACTCTCTGAGACTAATGCAAAGAGTATTATTGATGTTTTGTATTTTATGTAATTTAATGGACACTTTCTTGTTTGAAACGCACAACCGGATGATTGTAATTTTCCACCACAAGTGGGATGCGACAGAGTGAGCACACAGTCTGCCTGACCAAGATAAGATACGGTCACTTTGTTGTCTCAGCGAGGAAATTTATCTTGGCCGCTCAAGTGATTTTCTGCGACCAGCCGCAGCGCTGGACACGATAGAAGTACGGCACGGTCACCTCAGCTCGCTGCAGAAAGTGACACCGGGCGCACATCACTTCTATCGGTTTCTGTCACCGATGATTGATGAAAGCAGAGTTTCTCAGCTTGTGTTTTCTTTGGTGCTGGCAGTGAAAGGTTACACCTCGCCTCTTTGCAGTGCCCTCCGTGCGACATTAAGAGGCAGAACGAGAGTGCGTAAGAGGGAGACAGATGGGTTTTCCTCGCAGGATATCCTGTTCTAAGTAGAGCTGCTGAGCCCACTCTGACCTCCTCACCCCTCTTGACCCATGACCCGCTCATGGTTTGCGCTCACATCTTCAATGATTCCCAATCGCCTCAAATCTCTTTATTTTCTTGCGATTCAGCGATGGCCCTTTGAGCTTATTATTTTGGCTTAGTTTACTCATCGGTGTGTTTGTCCGCTTTGCTTTTGTGTAAGTCTTCCTTCTCTTTGTATCCGCGGTGCTATTTTCATCATTTCCAGCTCACCGTGAACAAAACCTAGTGTTGAAGCGAAGGAAATGACGTTGTGAGCCACAGTCACTCATCAATAAAATTCTGGAGAAATCGTGCACTTTAAAATGTTGATTAAAACATTTCATTTGTAAATAGGTTGGAATGACTTTCATCTCTCCCCCCCCCCCCCATCCCCAAAATGTATTTGGCAGAATAGCATTTTAAAGTACAAAGTACATTGTTGCACCATTATCTCCAGTCCAAAATTAGTTTTTGGAAAATAATGTCGTCCTCATGGCCTGTATATACTGCTTGACATCCAGCATATAAAAGCTAATAGCTTTTAGGCAGCCAGCACTTATGGCAAATGAGCAGCGTAATGGAATGAAAAACTCACATCATGATTGATTCCCCCCCTCCCCCACTGCCTGCAAGTGTCTGTAATTACACAGACTACAAAAATAACACTTATAACAAGAGCACCAAGGGACTTGTTGGAATACATTTTATCATAATTCCTCTTCAAAAGGAGAGGGGGTGAGGGGGCATCCACCTGAGGGGGGCATCCACAGCGACCCCCCATCCCGACCGCTGTTGCTGAAATATTTTATTTGGGCTGAAAAGTAGATGTCTTTTGGCGAGGCAAGATACCAGACGTGTTTCCACCGGATTTTAGGCGATGGCCATTATAAACAGACTTAATTATCATTAGTATTTTTTAATGATCTCATCATTACTTTGTAGAATTTCACCAAAGTAATGAGAACCTATTTTGTTATAATAGTTTTATATTTACCATTTCAGTCCGTTTTTTAAATTTATTTTTTTCTTTTGTTTTTGAAGGTTAATAGTTTTTTTTTCCCCCAAAAATACTTTGGTTTAGTTTAGCGTTTATTAGTTTTAGTATTAATTTTAGTTTTAGTATGGCCGTACATTGAAATAAATACAGTTAAATTAAACCTTGTAAGCTCATGTATGAAAATAATTGACAAAGATGAAAACAAAGGACATTTTCATTGTAATTATTAGTTGATTTCACTTTGTGTAATGGCATAAAATGTAGTCCCGGTTAGATATCAGTTATTTATAGCAGTCTCTCTTTTTTCAATTTTTTTTTTTTTTTTTTTTTAATGTCCTTCACAAAAAAGTTTCGAGTTGTATTTATTTCATGAGTTTTAGTGAGCATAACCTTGCCTCTTTGCTCAAATCTACTCACCCTACATCCTAAATTGTGGACAGAACAAGAAGTGCACCAAAAGAAAGCCCCAGATGCCCTTTGTCGCTCTCCCACATCATCATCTTGTCGACCTCTGCTGTCCCTCTCTCCCACCCTGGGGTGTTACTGGAATTCATTACGTGATGAATGGTTGTTTGTATTTTTTTAAGCTCAACAGCGCCAACCCCGACCTACGTGCTCATAGCAGGAGATAACCGAACTTTGCCGTGATGAGGGGAACAATTAGCCAATCGTCCTCTGACCTGCTAGCTAACCCAGAGGTCAAAGTGACACGGGGTTCGCTGGTTCCCAGGTGTCTTACCATCCGGCGGCTTAGCAAAGTAAGTAATATGGTCGTGTTTTTGTATGCGGACAGGTGACACAAATACCCACAGAAAGCACACGTTCCCATCGGTATTCGTGTGTGTGTGTGTGTGTGTGTGTGTGTGGGGGGGGGGGGGGGCTTTAAAGTGCATGGGCAAGCGATAATGATCCCAGTGGACACAGCGCAGTTTGCTCAGATAGGCCGCAGTAGAAATCTACACTTCCTGCTTCCTGTGGCGAGAGGAAGTGCTACCATCGCTGTCCTCTTATCACCAGTGGCAGAGCCAAAACATGGGGAGGAAGACAAGAGGGAGGAAAGGTAGCCAAGCAGCCTAGATAAAGGAAAATTTGCCAATAGTATGATCCCCACCAATGGATGATAAGACGCCAAATGATATCCGGATGGTCACGGTTGAACTCTTTGCTAAAGTTTGTCCATTTCTTTGTTGTTGAAGGAGACATTAGGAATGGTTCTCTATTTACATTCTGGAGCAGGGGGAGATGCTTCCATTTTGAAAAAAAAGAAATTCCAATCGCTTCCTGATAAGTTTTGTTCCTAACCAACCAACCATGAAACAGCAATCCAAACGACGTGACTCTCTTTTTTTGCAACAGGTGCAGATGCAGAGATCCATGAAGGTTTGCAGGATGCAATCCAAATGTTTGCAGTTGCACCTGATGAAGAGACGCTGGATTCGAGGGAGGGAGAGAGAGAGAGTGAGGGAGAAGGGGGGACAGATTTTTTTGGGCTAAGGGTGGAGAAGCTTTGAGCTGGGATTGTCCCAGATGGACACAATCCGCTCCCTCCCTTTGTAAACAGCCTTGAGCCGCTCATCATTTTTCTACACATTTCCCACTTTTTCATCCACAACTGTAAGCAACACTTCCAGGAAAACACACACACACACACACACACACACACACACACACACACACACACACACACACACACACACACACGCACACAAAACATTTTTGCACTGCTTCGAACAAACGCTAGCGCAAATTCATTGTTTTCCTCTTCACTTCTGACATATTTCAGGACCCCTTTAACCCCTTCTCCCCTCCCCCACGTTGCTCGCCTAATTTCTGCCATTTCCAAAGTAAACACACCACTAAATATCGAGCTGACTCACTTCCACTGTGGGTGGCTCTGTTTCCAATTTTCTCACCACCTCAGCCACCCTAATACCTCTTTAGAAGAAGAAGAAAAAGGAAAAAAAAAAAAGCAATTTGTACAACAAACAAAAAAGTGACAAACCAGGTATGAAGTGCTAAACGTGAGCATGTGGCGACCCGTTTTTTTCTTCTCTCACGACTTTTGAGGCTCTCAAATAGTTACTGTTTTTTCCTTTGCCTTCTTTCTCTTTTGGAGAGCGTGGGAGCGCCCTCAGAGTACTGCGCATAAACCACAGGGCTCAAAACAACAGGAGGAAACCGGTAACTTGAGTAACTTTGACCGGGGAGAGAGTGTGGGGTGGGGTGAGGTGATGGCTGAGAGGCAAGACAGGAATGGGGGGCTGGGGGGGGGGGGGTTAGAAGACGGGTGAAAGATGCCAAGGGTGTACACAGGCGCCTTTCACCAAACAAAGATGTCAGTTGAGCTCTGCCAAGTGGAAGACACCGAGCATTAAGCACTACGCGGCCTGTTGCATTAAAATTGTCGACACCCTAAACACTCTCGACATGAATCACTTGTCCAGTTGCCTTACCAGTGTGCGGTGCGGTCATTCAACGGGAAGATCCCATCGGTCCATAATCTGGTACAGTTCAGTCCAGGGAGCTCCACGGCGGTGAGAGGGGACACCCAAACTATTGCGTACACACGCATACATACAGTAGATATATGCACGCGCATGCACGGCAACAGTTCTCCCGGTCCAAATGTTGAGAAAGTGAGGGGCTGCACCAAAAAGGCAATCAGAGGGAGGGAGAAATTGAGGTAGAGCGAGAGAAAGGGAGAATAAGGTTAACCCCTCAGAGTGGACTTGTGGACTCTCTCTCTCTCTCTCTCTCTCTCTCTCTCTCTCTCTCTCTCTCTCCCTCTCTCTCTCTCTCT